AAAGAATATGAGCTGAATCCAGAAAACAGGGAACTTGTGTGTGGTTAGATGGTGAGATATAGTGAGAGTAAGGGATAGTAACTAGGCATAATGTACAAGAGAATAAAGTTATCCACAACAGTAGTAAAGTTCAAGAAGACAGTGAAATGGGCCAAGACAGAAGGGTGCTGTGTAGGATTTACAATAATATGGAACAACAATTATTTATAAAATTATAGAAACAACGATAATAGGACAAGAACTATATGATCTGAATAGAAAGTAGAAGACCAAGAGTAGTATGTTATTGGAATATAAGTGAAGTGAGAGAAGAAAAATTAAAATGCAATGTGAAAGGGAGAACAAAGAATACCAAACAATGCAATTAAACAGATTGAAGAAAATTAAACCAAATGAAGAGAAACAAAAAAATAATAAAAGAAATAAAAATAACTAAAAATAATAAAAATAAAAAATAAAATGCAACTTCTGTAGGATAGGAAAGTGAAATTTGTCTGTTTCCCATTTGGCATTAGACTTCTGATCTCTCTCTGGTTCTGTCTTTAGTTCTTTGGTCCTTTCACAGCTCCCGGTCTATTGTCTCATACTTAGAGGGGGAGAAAGCCTCCTGCTGACATTAAACCTGCCAAGCAAGTTCTGTGTCTTCCTTTTTTTTCTATGGGCAGTCAGAGGGTGGCTGGGCTTTGCTTTTTTCTTTTCCTGTGGTTTTTCAAGGATGGGTGCTCAGTCTGGACTGAAATATTCCCAGGTGCCCAGCCTCCAGCCCAAGCCCTCAGAGTGCTGCACTGCACCCACTGTCCATCTGAACCAGGCTGGCACCTTTAAGCCACCCTGTTGTGCCAGCTGTGAGGTTCACTGCTTAGGACCAACCTGAACCTCTCCTCCTTCCTCTTTGCTGGCTTAGGTGCTGCACACTCTCAAAGTCCTTTCAGGGCAGTTTGGTTCTCTATTAAATTGAGTCTCTATGGGGAATGCTAAGTCTCTGAGCCCTTGCTGCCCTCCTCTGATCAGTCCATGTGGGCAGCCCTCCTCCTCCCTCTTTGCTGGCCCAGCTACTGAGCAGGAGAGATCCTTGCACAGCATCTTCATGCCATTTTTTCTGAGCAAATTTTGCAGGGTTGCGGTTTGTGTTCTTAACAAGCACCTGACTTTTCACATAGCCCAACTCTCTGACCAATCCTGAGATTCTCTGGGTCACAGTCAGTCATAGCCCAACCCTTCTCCCATCCCTAGGTGTCTGCCTGCTTCCTGATTTCTCTGGTACTGTCCCAGCCAGCGACCAGAGTCCAAGGTGGGGAACGCCCCTGGCTGTGTGTCTTGCACTGCATCTTTATCCTCACAGTGACTTCAAGCATCCAGGTCTTTCCTAGGCAGGACTGGCTTCCTTGCTGTGAGGAGGGAGCTGAAAAGTTAGTATTACTGACCTGGCTCTCCTCCAAAAGTCATATAGCAGCAGGGACGGGAGCCACAGCCACCAAACTGCAGTCCTAGGTACAGAGCCTGGTGACTTTCCCATCTGCCTACAAACTTTCCTTACCCTCAGTTTTTTAATGTCCTCTTCAGTTTTTGGCCTCCAAATTTCATATAAGCTGGGATTCCATTTGCTGTTCACTCTGTTCTTCAGAAGATCAGCTAGGGGTCAGTTGGATGCATGAGCAAGTGGGTTAAGCTCCCACCTACCTTGCCGCCATCTTCCAATTCCTCCTACATGTTTGTTTTCTTAACGCTCTATATGTTCCTTGTAGCATTGAACATCTAGATAGTACCTGACATATCCATAGGCATTCATATGGATATATCAGGTACAGAAATTCATTTCAACTTAACAGATACTTTTTATTTGATTCAGTAGTCACATAGGTGTAAAACAATAACTCAATTTGCTTCATTTTAGCTGAGATGCGATTCCTTTTCTCCTCAGGACAAATGCTGATAGAAAAAAAATACTAGGTGCTCTCATTCCCAGGAACACATCCAAGGCCATTCTTCCCTGTCAGGAGTGCACCCCATAAACTCTAAGGGTTCCCATGAAACTTGTAACCAGGGGAGCAATGGGCAGTGGCAGCTCATCCTGAGCTAAGCCCCTGAACCTGTTTCCAGGGCTCTCTTTTTCTCTGACTTTCCATTGAGTCAAAGCAGCCCCACCTAGGATATCTCCTGTTGCTTCTTCTATCCCAAGTCCTTCCTTTGTTTCACTGTTCCCAGCTTTAATAAGAGTACTCCCAAGATTAAAAAAGAAAGAAAGAAAAACAGAGTATATTTTTTAGAAAAAAAATGTTTTAAATGGAGGAAATTAAGAAAATCTAGGTCTGTGATGAGTAAGCATTCCTTCATATTCTCCAGCTGTGTCTAAGCATTTGTCCATGGAGAGCAACTGGGATCGTGATTAGAATATGGGACTGAGTGCTTAGAAGTTTCATTTCTTGAATCCTGTCTCTCCTATGGGTTTACTCTTAGTTCAGGAAACATAGCCTTCCAGGAAACTTTGCCACTCTATAAAATGGGTATAGGATAGGTTTTCCAGTTATTAGTAATTTTTATTTATTTCTAGGATTTCTTTTGACCATTTAATGCTTTTTCTAGTACTGCTTTGTTTTTACTCCTCTAAAATTCTCTTCCTCATGCTTTACATATAGGAAATATATGTATATCTTTTCATTTATAGAATCCTCCTTTTTCTTCTCTTTGCTAGTTTCCCTCTGTTCTTTTTATGATATAAGCTCTTATTTCCTTATTGCTGCTTTTTTCTTTTTAAAAAATTTTATTGATTATCCCATTACATTTGTTCTATTCCCCCCATTCCCCTCCACCCTGCACACCTCTCCCCCACCATTTGCCCCCCTTTTAGTTCATGAACACGTGTCTCAAGTTCTTTAGATTCTATATTTCCCATACTATTCTTGCCCTCTCCCCTATTTTCTACCTACTGTCTATGCTACTTATTTTCTGTGTCTTCTCCACCCTTCTCCTTCTCCCACTCCCTTGTTGCTAACCCTACATGTGATCGTCATTTCTCTGGATCACTCCTGATCTAGCTGTCCTCTTAGATTGCTTTTGTTTTAGGTGTGGTTGTTAATAACTGTGTGTTTGCTGTCCTTTCACTGTTCATATTTTTATCTTCTTTTTCTTAGGTAAGTCCCTTTAACATTTCATATAATAAGGGCTTGGTGATGATGAACTCCTTGAGTTTGATCTTATCTGAGAAGCACTTTATCTGTCCTTCCATTCTAAATGAAAGTTTTGCTGGATAGACCAATCTTGGTTGTAGGTCTTTGGATTTCATGACTTGGAATACCTCTTTCCAGCCCCTTCTTGCCTGTAAGGTCTCTTTTGAGAAATCAGCTGACAGTCTGATGGGAACTCCTTTGTAGGTGACTGTCCCCTTAGCTCTTGCTGCTTCTAGGATTCTCTCCTTCATTTGAATCTTGGCTAATGTAATGATGATGTGCCTTGGTGTGTTCCTTCTTGGGTCCAACTTCTTTGGGACTCTCTGAGTTTCCTGGATTTCCTGGAAGTCTATTTTCTTTGCCAGATTGGGGAAGTTCTATTTTATTATTTGTTCAAATAAGTGTTCCACTTGTGGCTGTTCCTCTTCCCCTTCTGGTACTCCTATAATAAGGATGTTGGAGTGTTTAAACATGTCCTGGAGGTTCCTAAGCCTGTCCTCATACTTGTGAATTCTTGTTTCTTCATTCTGTTCTGTTTGGTCATTTTTTCCTTCCTTCTGGTCTGCTCCCTTGATTTGAATCCCAGTTTCCTTCCCATTACTATTGGTTTCCTGTGCATTTCCATTCATTTCAAATAGTTTAGCCTTCATATGTTCCTCTAATTTGTGACTAAAATGAACCAGTTCTGTGAGCATCCTGATCACCAGTGTTTTTGAACTGTGCATCTGAAAGTTTGGCTATTTCTTCATTGCTTAGATTTATTGGCTCTGGAGTTCTGAGTTGTTCTTGAGCCATGTTTTGATCTGTGTATGCCTGTTACATATGAGGAGAGGCGCCTTAGATATTCACCAGGGCAGAGCCACCCAGGTCGCTGGTTTGTGACGCTGTGTGTGGGGGAGGGGTCAGAGAGGGAGCAATGGTGGTCCTCTCCGCTTGCCCAGTCCGCCTCACTGCTCACCCCCACCTGTTTATCTGAGCCCAAATGTGCGAGCCCGTTGCCCTGCACCACATGGTCTCAATGCTCGCCTCTTCAGTGGTTTAACTGCGTGCAAATGAGCGACCGACCGCAGACAGCCATCGAGCCTCATCCCTGTGTCCGCCCATAGCTAGCTGGCACCTGGGATCCATGCCCTCCGCTACCTGTGCACCACCCGCGTCCCGGGGATCTTTTTTGCCCAACCTGCTCCAGTGCTGGCTTTGCCCCTCTCACTGGTCTAGCTGAGCATTTCATTGTTTTCAGACTTGGTATTGTCGATTTTCTGTGTGGTTTGGTTGCATTTATTGTTGTTTTTAGATTTGGTTGTGGGAGGATGCAAAGTGTTTCCACCTACACCTCCATCTTGGCGGAAGTCCCTTATTGCTGCTTTCTATTATAGCCTTTTATTTTCTTCTTCAGGCATCTTTACCTGATTTAGGAGTCCTCATGCTTCTAGACCGAATCTTGGGAATTACTTCCTTAGTACATGAGAGGCAAGAGCAACGTTCTCTCTGTATGGAATCTCAAGCAAATCTGTCATGTGCTTGGACTTCACTGTGTAGGAATAGAAATTATGCTTTGTGCTATCCGCTATAATATGAATGTTGTAGCTGTCAAATGCTTTGAATGTCTTGGGAGGCAAGTGATATATAGCCCCCCAAATAATTAGATGGTGCTGTGCCTTGAAATAAAAATTGCTACACATTAACCTACCCACAGGTTTTATAATGTGGTTGGATCTGAGCTTTATAAGGTTAGAGGGTAATTAAGCTGCTTGTCACAATTGTGAGAAAGGAAAGGGTAAAAGCAAAGGACACGTTTTGTTTCCAAAAGATGATTTCTTCTCTGTACTGCAGGAGATGCTCTGTTCCAGAAGAACAAGAACTCACTGATGAAGATCTGTACTTGAACAAAGTTAAGAAACAGTTGAGTATACCTAAAGTGGTATTCTATGTCATACAGTAGAGGAGGCTGACCCTTCCTAATAGAGCATGAAAGTTTGAAAAAGGATGATTTTTTTCTTTTTTGGTTTGTAATTATTTCCTTCCTCACCTCTTTGTTCTCCAAATTGTTTATTCCTTTTAATATTCTCCTTAGTTTCTCAACTAGTAATTGTCTTTAGTCTCTCTTCCTCCCCTCCCCCTCTCTTTTTCAATGGGGCAACTGAAATTTCTTTTTAGTAGCAGAGTTTATGAAGGCAACATTAGCTTGAACTCAATGAAACTCACACTATTTCTAATTTGGAAAGAACATTAAAACCTAAATCTACAATTGGTTTCGCAACCAATTGTAGGTTCTACAACCTAATCCATATTAGACTGATAAATTTCACGAGTAAACTAAATAGCAATTTTATCTTCTAGAGATCAAACTGTTGAGAAGAAGGTGCCAATGGAAAATGAGAATCACCAGGTGAGAAACAGTCCTCTCTCTTCCTTTTCTCACACAAAATTTTCCCTAACAGACCATATAGGTTGAAGGAAGCAGCAGTCTTGAAAGCTGCATAGAAATAATGAACCATTTATTCTGGTGGTATTTTTTTCATTTGATCTTTTGATTTTTCTTTGATCTATTGTTGCTGATGTTTAGTTCACCAAAAATAGAAGAGCCAAATCATTTATTTCCCAGATTTGGATTCAGTCCTGATTCTGAACAGTGTTCATGTCACCTTCAGTGTAACAGAATGTTCAGGGTTATGTTCCATCCTCATACAGGCTGCTCCTGTTGAGTGTCTGGTTTTCCTCAGTTTTCTTTCTGCCAGGAGTAGGCAGGGGTGATTATTCCTCCTTCTTTTTGGGAGAAGGGGTGGTTCTTTGTACCTTTCCCCATCCCTGCTTTCAGGCTGGCTGGCTTTATAAAGACTCTGCTGTTTTGAATTTTCAGGAGCACTGTCTCTCGGACATGGTTGCCCAGCTCCGGACGCTGAAGGGTGCAATAAGGTTGGCCGTCCTTTCAGGGACACTTCTTTCCTGACAGCCACCATAGCACCCATATCTTTCTCCCCCACAACCTTGCCTTTCTGCATGATTTTACTGTTAATCTGCTTTCTCTATCTGCTAGTCGCATGTTAAATTTACCTTCCATCCACTCAATCAGGTTAGGTCAGACTGGTGAGGATAGAGGCAATTTAATAGTAATTCTTCTTTTGGCAGTGTACTGAGACCCAGGTATATGAATATTCAGGTTTTATGTCCTACTGGCTTGGTTTAATAGTCTGATCTAGAGATTGGAAGATGTCCTGGTACTGCTCTGTCCTCATTCAGTTTGCCTATCCTTTATATTCCTTCATCTTCATCTTCGTCATTCATACTGTTTTCATAAGCTGGCTCTCCCACAAGATCCCAGATGCATGTCTCTCTGTGTGTGCACTATGAATAAGTGTTAATGTCTTGCATGCATTTTTCCAAAACCGACACCAACACATGCTACAATGCTTCTTCCTTCCATCCGTACCCTTGTCACAGATCTAAGAAGAGTGAAAATCCAGCGTTAAACTGGATCACAAGAGAGAATTAGACACTGACTAGAAGGCCTGGGTTTATGTTGTGGGTGGGATGACTCTAGAGGCCAATAAGTGAGTTGGGAAGGTGTGTTGGCTTCCAACTGATAAGGTTATAATTGAATGTTCCTGGATTCACTTTTCTAGTGTACATTACTGTGTGCTAATTGTTCTGTGTATGAAACAGTTTCTTTTTATTTGGCCAAGTGTTCTTTCCTAGCATCAGAAGGATAACTCATCCTCTGGTATTTAGTTTGAAATTGGGATTTTTATACATGATATTTTTCTTTATTAGGTATTCACTAACCCACTCAATAGCCCTACTATTCAAGATATGGATGAATTAAATAATAAAACAATTGGCTATGAGGAAATTGATAGCCCTAGCCGACTTCCATCTGTTGGAGAAGAAAGCAAAACACCTGTTTTTCAACTTAAGCCTCTGGACTCCAGTGTTTTTCAGTTTCCCAGGTGAGTAAGATACATAGTTTCTCTTCAATAATAAGCCTCAGGGCTTGTTTTCCTGTAAAGTAAGTTGGTATGGTTATCATGTTTATGTTTTTACTAAGGCATAGCATGAAATTCAGAAGGATACATATTATTTTGGGTTGATAGAATTCTGTGTTGCATGTACCCCCAGTTATTCAACATTATAAATGCTATTTGAAATCTGTATATCATTTTAATTTACTTTTTTGGAGTGATCATTTGATAAATGCTTTTTTATGTATTATATATTCATATTATGTAGGGGATTGTGTAAATGAAATAATAGACATGAACACTCTTTGAGCAGCATAATGTGCTATTCAAATGTAAGCTAAAGTTATGTAGATAAGCATTGTTTCTTTCCTCAAGTGTAAGAATATTGAAGTTTTGTGGGTCTCCACAGGTCTAGCACATTTAGTTCACATATAAAAATAACCATTACAAGTTTATGCATTTAGGACTATGCTAAGATGGAGGCATAGGTAAATACACTTTGACTCATTGCACAACCAAAATAAGGGCAACAACAAATTTGACAACAAATAGCCAGAAAATTGAACTCTATGGAAGTCTGATAGCCAAGGAGTTAAAGAAGAAACATTCATTCAGATTGATATAAGGGGCAGAGACAGGCAGCTGGAGCAGAGAGGCTGCAGCAGGTGGACCAGGTGGTCCAACATTTGCATGTGGATAAACCAGTAGGAACAACTGGTGAGTGAGACAGACTGCCCAATGTAGGTTCCAGCATGGGAAAATAAAACCTTAAAGCCTCTGACTATAAAAATCTGTGGGGATTGTGGTGGTGGGAGAAACTCCCAGCCTCATAGAAGAGTTTGTTGGAGAGACCCACAGGGTACTAGAAGGTACACAAACCCACCCACCTGGGAATTAGCACCAGAAAGGCTCAATTTACTTATGGGTAGCAAGGGAAGTGACGGAAAGCTGGCGAGCTGAGCAAGTAGCAGTGTTCCTGCTTGGACCCCTCCCCCACATACAGCACTACAAGACAGCAATGTTGGTTACCCCACCCTGGTGAATACCTAAGGCTCTGCCCCTTACAACATAATAGACGTGCCAAGACAAAAATATGGCTCAAATGAAAGAACAAATCAAAGCTCCAAAAATAGAACTAAGTGATAAAGAGAGAGCCAACCTATCAGATGCAGATTTCAAAACACTCTGATCAGTATGCTCACAGAAATGGTCAAGTGTGGTCACAAAACATAGGGAATGAAAAGTGAAATAAAGGAAAATAAAAGAGGACCAACAGTACAGGGAAGGAAGTTGGGACTCAAATCATAAATTTGGAGCAGGAGGAAGAAATACATCCAACCAGAGCAAAGTGAAGAAACAAGAATTCAAAAAAATGAGAAGAGGCTTAGGAAATTCCAGGACAACTTTAAACATTCCAACATCCAAATCATAGGGGTGCTAGAAGGAGAATAGGAAGACTAAGAAGTTGAAATCTTATTTGAAAAAATAATGCAGGAGAAATTCTCCAATCTGGCAAAGGAAATAGACTTCCAGGAAGTCCAGGAAGCTCAGAAAGTCCCAAAGAATTTGGACCCAAGGAAGCACACACCAAGGCACATCATAATTACATTTGCCAAGATTAAAGAGAAGGAGAGAATCTTAAAATCAGCAAGAGAAAAGGAGAGAGTTACCTACAAAGGAGTTCCCATAAGACTATCAGCTGATTTCTCAAAAGAAACCTTACAGGCAAGAAGGAGCTGGAAATAAGTATTTGAAGTCATGACAGGCAAGGACCTACATCCAAGGTTAATCTATCCAGCAAAGCTATCATTTAGAATGGAAGGGCAGATAAAGTGCTTCCCAGATAAGGTCAAGTTAAAGGAGTCCATCACCAAGCCCTTATTATATGAAATGTTAAAGGGACATATCTAAGAAGAAGAAGATAAAAAAGATGTGCAGTAAATGACAGCAAATTCACAATTATTAACAACCACTCCTAAAACAAGACAAAAACAAAAGTAAACTAAGCAAGCAACTTGAACAGGAACAGAATCACAGAAATGGAGATTACATGGAGGGTTATCAGTGGGGAGGCAGAGTGGGGAGAATGACGGATAAGGTACAGAGAATAAGATGCATAAATGGTAGGTACAAAATAGACAGGAGAGGTTAAGAATAGTGTAGGAAATGGAGAAGCCAAAGAACTTATATGTACGACCTATGGACATGAATAAGTGGAGTGGGTGGGGTGCAGGGCAGAGGGGAATAAAGGGGAGAAAAAATGAGACAGCTGCAATAGTGTAATGAATACAATACATATTTTTTTAAAAGTTCATGTCTTACCCCAGAGCAAGAAGAAGGAAGGAAATAACCAAGATCAGAGCAGAGCTAAATTACATAGAGATTAAAAGCACAATCCTAAGGATCAATGAATCCAGGAGTTGGTTCTTTGAAAAGATAAACAAAAATAGACAAGCCTTTAAGTAGGCTCATCAAGAAAAGAAGAGAGAGGACTCAAATAAACACAATCAGAAATGAAAGAGGAGAGATTACAACTGATACCACAGAAATAGAAGGGACTGTAAAAAATTACTATGAAGAACTGTATGCCAAGAAATTTGAAAACCTAGGGGAAATGGACACATTTCTAGAAAAATACAATCTTCCAAAATTTAATGAAAAAGAATCAGAAAATCTGAACGCACCAATAACAGCAAAAGAAATTGAAACAGTAGTCAAAAAAAACTCCCATCACACAAAAGCCCTGGACCAGCTGGGTTCACAGGAGAATTCTACAAAGCATTTAAGAAAGAGCTAACCCCTACTCTTCACAGACTATTCCAAAAAATCCAGAAGGGTGGAAAACTCCCAAACTCCTTTTATGAAGCCAGCATCATCCTAGTTCCAAAACCAGATAGAGACGCAACAAAGAAAGAGAACTTCAGGCCAATATCACTGATGGACATAGACACTAAAATCCTCAACAAAATATTGGCAAATCGCATCCAACAATATATTCAAAAGATCATACACCATGACCAAGTGGGATTCATCTCAGGGATGCAAGGATGGTTCAATATTCACAAATCAGTAAATGTAATACATCACATAAACAAAAGCAAAGACAAAAACCACATGATCATATCAATAGATGCGGAAAAAGCTTTTGATAAGGTACAACACCTATTTATGATAAAAAACACTCAACAAAGTGGGAATAGAGGGAGCATTCCTCAACATAATAAAGGCCATATATGAGAGACCTACAGCCACGTCATACTCAATGGGAAAAAACTAAAAGCTTTTCTACTAAGATCAGGAACAAGACAAGGATGTCCACTTTCACCAGTTCTATTCAATATAGTTTTGAAAGTTTTCGCCACAGCAATCAGGCAAGAAAAGGAAATAAAAGGCATCCAAATAGGAAAGGAGGAAACAAAACTATCACTGTTTGCAGATGACATGATAGTGTACATGGAAAATCCTATAGACTCTACCCAAAAACTGCTCAAACTAATGAATTAATTTGGCAAAACAGCGGGTTACAAAGTCAATATCCAGAAATCGAAGGCACTTTTGTATACCAACAATGAAACAGCAGAAGCAGAAATCAAGGAAAAAATCCCATTCGATATAGCAAAAAGAAAAATAATATATCTGGGAATAAACCTAACCAAGGAGGTAGAAGACCTGTAAGCAGAAAACTACACAGCCCTGAAGAAAGAAATCAAGGCAGACATAAACAAATGGAAACATATACCGTGTTTATGGATTGGAAGAATTAACATCATCAAAATGTCCATACTACCCAAAGCAATATACAGATTCAATGCAATACCTATTAAACTACCAATGACATATTTCACAGACATAGAACAAACACTTCAAAAATTTATATGGAACCATAAACGACTCCGAATAGCTGCTGCAATTTTAAGAAATAAGAACAAAGTTGGAGGGATCACAATACCTGATACCAAACTGTGTTACAAGGCCACTGTAATCAAAACAGCCTGGTACTAGCATAAAAAAAGGCACATAGACCAATGGAACAGAACAGAGAGCCAAGAAATAAACCTAACTCTCTACAGTCAATTAATATTCGACAAAGGGGGCAGTAGCATAAAATGCAGTAAAGATAGCCTCTGCAACAAATGGTTTTGGGAGAACTGGACAGCTACGTGCAAAAAAAATGAAACTTGAGCACAAACTTACACCATACACCAAAATAAATTCAAGGTGGATGAAAGACTTAAATATAAGCTGTGACACCATTAAAGTCCTGGAGGAGAACATTGGCAAGAAAATCTCAGATATTTCATGCAGCAACTTTTTTACCGATATGTCCCCTAGAGCAAGGAATATAAAGCAAAGAATAAACAAATAGGATCTCATCAAAATAAAAAGCTTCTCTGTGGCTAAAGAAAACAGTATTAAATTAGCAAGACAACCAACTGTATGGGAAAACATATTTGCCAATGATACCTGAGACAAAGGTTTAATCTCCAAAATATACAAAGAACTTACACGATTCCACTCTAAGAAGAGAACTAACCCAATTTAAAAATGTGAAAAGGACTTGAATAGACACTTCTCCAAGGAGGACATACAGAAGATCCAGAGACACATGAAGAGATGCTCAATATCGTTAGCTATCAGAGAGATGCAAATTAAAACCACAATGAGATACCACTTTACACCAGTCAGGATGGCTATCATAAACAAAGCAACAAACAACAAGTGTTGCAGAGGGTATGGGGAAAAGCGGTCCTTAGTTCGCTGTTGGTGGGATTGCAGACTTGTACAACCATTATGGAAAACAGTATGGAATTTTCTCAGAAAAATAAAAATTGACCTGCCTTTTGACCCAGCAATTCCACTGCTAGGATTATATCCCATGAATCCTAAAACATCAATTTCAAAGAACCTATGCACCACAATGTTCATAGCAGCACAGTTCACAATAGCCAAGAGTTGGAAGCAACCTAGGTGCCCATCAGTAAATGAAT